TACACTAATGCACTCTACTGTACTCTACTGTCCTCTACTGTACTCTACTGTACTCTACTGCTCCTCTACTGTACTCTACTGTACTCTACTGTCCTCTACTGTACACTAATGCACTCTACTGTACTCTACAGTACTCTACTGTCCTCTACTGTCCTCTACTGTACACCGATGCACTCTACTGTACTCTACTGTCCTCTACTGTCCTCTGCTGTACTCTACTGTCCTCTACTGTACACTACTGCACTCTACTGCACTCTACTGTACTCTACTGTACCTATACTGTCCTCTACTTTACACTACTGTCCTCTACTGCACTCTACTGTCCTCTACTGTACACTGCTGCACTCTACTGTACTCTACCTCTACTGTACTCTACTGTTCCTCTACTGTACTCTACTGTACTCTACTGTCCTCTACTGTACACTACTGTCCTCTACTGTACACTAATGCACTCTACTGCTCCTCTACTGTACTCTACTGTCCTCTACTGTACACTAATGCACTCTACTGTACTCTACTGTACTCTACTGCTCCTCTACTGTACTCTACTGTCCTCTACTGTACACTAATTCACTCTACTGCCCTCTACTGTCCTCTACTGTCCTCTACTGTACTCTACTGTCCTCTACTGTCCTCTACTGTCCTCTACTGTCCTCTACTGTACTCTACTGTCCTCTACTGCCCTCTACTGTCCTCTACTGTCCTCTACTGTACTCTACTGTCCTTTACTGTACACTAATTCACTCTACTGCCCTCTACTGTCCTCTACTGTCCTCTACTGTACACCAATGCACTCTACTGTACTCTACTGTCCTCTACTGTACTCTACTGTCCTCTACTGTACTCTACTGTCCTCTACTGTACACTACTGCACTCTACTGCACTCTACTGTACTCTACTGTACCTATACTGTCCTCTACTTTACACTACTGTCCTCTACTGCACTCTACCGTACACCACTGTTCCTCAACTGTACACTACTGTTCCTCTACTGTACACTACTGTTCTCTACTGTTCCTCTACTTTACACTACTGTACTCTACTGTACTCTACTGTCCTCTACTGTACACTAATGCACTCTACTGCCCTCTACTGTCCTCTACTGTCCTCTACTGTACACCAATGCACTCTACTGTACTCTACTGTCCTCTACTGTACTCTACTGTCCTCTACTGTACTCTACTGTCCTCTACTGTACACTACTGCACTCTACTGCACTCTACTGTACTCTACTGTACCTATACTGTCCTCTACTTTACACTACTGTCCTCTACTGCACTCTACTGTCCTCTACTCTACACTACTGCACTCTACTGTACTCTACTGTACTCTACTGTACCTATACTGTCCTCTACTTTACACTACTGTCCTCTACTGCACTCTACTGTCCTCTACTCTACACTACTGCACTCTACTGTACTCTACTGTACTCTACTGTACTCTACCTCTACTGTCCTCTACTTTACACTACTGTCCTCTACTGCACTCTACTGTCCTCTACTTTACACTACTGCACTCTACTGCACTCTACTGTACTCTACTGTACTCCACTGTACCTCTACTGTCATCTACTGTACACTACTGTACTCTACTGTACACCACTGTTCCTCTACTGTACTCTACTGTACTCTACTGTACACTACTGTACACAACTGTTCCTCTACTGTCCTCTACTGTGCTCTACTGTACACAAATGTTCCTCTGCTGTACTTTACTGTACCTCTACTGTACTCTACTGTAGGCCACTGTTCCTCTACTGTACTCTACTACACCTCTACTGTACCCTACTGTCACCTACTGTACACTACTGTACTCTACTGCACTCCACCGTACACTACTGTACACCACTGTTCCTCTGCTGTACTCTACTGTACCTCTACTGTCCTCTACTGTACACTACTGCACTCTGCTGTACACTACTGTACTCTAATGTACTCTACCTCTACTGTACTCTACTGCACTCTACTGCACTCTACTGTTCCTCTACTGTACTCTACTGTACTCTACCTCTACTGTACACTACTGCACTCCACTGTACTCCACTGTTCCTCTACTGTACTCTACTGCACTCTACTGCACTCTACTGTACCTCCACTGTACACTACTGCACTCTACTGTACTCCACTGTACTCCACTGTACACTACTGTACACCACTGTTCCTCTACTGTACCTCTACTGTACCTCTACTGTCCTCTACTGTCCTCTACTGTTCCTCTACTGTACTCTACTGCACTCTACTGCGCTCTACTGTACCTCTACTGTACACTACTGCACTCTACTGTACTCCACTGTACACTAATGCACTCTACTGTACTCTACTGTACACTACTGCACTCTACTGTACACTGCTGCACACTACTGAACACTACTGCACTCTTCTGCACTCTACTGTACACAACACTGCACTCTACTGTACTCTACTGTACCTCTACTTTACACTACTGTACTCTACTGTACTCTACTGTTCCTCTACTGTACTCTGCTGTACACCACTGTTCC